GCCTGGACCGCGCTGCACGTCAGCACGACCGAGTGCGTCAGCACGCAAGCACGAGAGCCGCTGGGCCCTCTGGGAGCCGTAGTGCTCTGTGCGCAGGCGTTGAAGCCACACGGGTAAGTATAGTTTTTTTTTTTTTTTTTTTTTTTTTTTTTAGGCGCAAGGGACGTTCGAAAAACCAGAGTCCCGTCGGGCACTGCGGGGAAAAGCGGGGAAAGGCGGGGCACCGTACCGAAGAGGCAACGTCTGCGGGATATCTTCTGTAGGAAGCGGGAGGGGATGGGGGCGGCAACCCACGACGCCGGGGGAAGAGCTCAAACTGACGCCTTTCGCGCAGAGAGTTCTGGGAGTTGTAGTTCAGTCACGGAGAGAGAGACTCGTACAGCGCCTTCTCCGGGCAGCCATTTTGTCTGCCTGTCTTGTGCGGCAGTGGTTCAGCAACTCAGCCCCCGTGACTGCGGGTTTCTGTAGCAAGTCTGAGGCCACAGAGCACCGGGTCATCCGCTCTCAGCAGGAGTTGCTCCAGAGTCAAGCCTCCTGGCACCCCTGGATCCACTTGAACCCGGCTCTGGCCCAGGTTCAGAAGCAAAAGCCGAACTAGTCTTCTATGATGTCCATAGTTTTCACCTTCTTATAAAGGCCGAAATATGGCTGGCAGGCCGGCCAATGACAGTTTCTCTTGCTTGGCGTTGGTGGCTCACACCTTTAATCCCAGCAGTCAGAAGGCAGAAGCAAACGGATCTCTTTAAGTTCGAGGCCAGACGACAGCCTACATAAACCCTGTCTCAAAGCAAAACAAAAAAAAAGAAACCAAAAACCCTCTTACCTTTAAGTAGAAGACTAGATAAGCGATTTCGCCTGTGGAATCTGCCGTGTATGAAGGAATGTGTCAGGAGTAACAATTTAACATGTTTAACTCTGGCACTGGGCCTCACGACCTTAGTTTGACCCCCTCTGACCCATATGATAAAGGAAAGAAACAACAACCAACACCCACAAGTCCATGGTACTGGTGTGCTGTGTGCCTGCCTCCACATATAAACACACTTACACACACACACACACACACACACACTAAACAAAACTGTAATTTAAAAAAAAACAAAAACTTTAAAACAAAACTCTTAGACTTTTTTTTTTTTTTTTTTTTTTTTGCGCCAAGGTCTCCCTTTGTAGTCTAGGCTAGATTCAAACCCTCTATGTGACCCAAGCTATCCTGAACTTAGGATCCTCCTCCCCTATAGTGCTGGGAATTGATGCCAGGGCTTTCATATGTGTTAGCAAGAGCTCTACCATTGAGCTGCACTCCCAGCCTATTTCCTATTGAATTTATGTGTTAAAAATGATGTGCATACATGCTTGTCTGTTCGGGGTATGTGCACAAGTGCAGTTTCTGTGAAAATCAGAGGTGGGGAGGGCTTATTTAGTTCCTCCGCATGAACAGTACTAAGGTCTTAACTGAATCATCTCTCCAACCCAGCCCCAATAATTTTTAAAGGTTCTTTTTCTAGGGCTGATTAAAAGATGGTCTCCCAGCTGGGCAGTGGTGCACATGTCTTTAATCCCAGCACTTGGGAGGCAGAGGCAGGTGGATCTCTGTGAGTTCGAGGCCAGCCTGGTCTGCAGAGCGAGTTCCAGGACAGGCTCCAAAGCTGCAGAGAACCCTGTCTGGAAAAACAAAACAAACAAACAAACAAAAAGATGGTCTCCCACGAAGCAGAGCTGTAGGAAAGCTTGTAGCTCTCAAACTAATGTGTGACAACTTTAGCAGGCATAGTACCAACCTGTCTGCAGTCTTAAGTACAGGAAATTAGATTTAATGTTGTTGTTTCTTTTTAATTTACCAACAAAAGGATATACTCAGGTGCTAGAATTCCAAGACTGTGAGACCCGCCACATTTGAGGTCACATTTCAGTGCTCTAACCATGTTTCCTTGAAGTCCCCAACACTGCTAGACTTCCATAAGCTGGGCATACCTTTGGAGTTAATATGGCAAGGTATTTGAGGTTGAAAGTAAAGGGTGGTGGTTTCTTTAAAGATCATACCACTTCTAGTGAGACCTTTCCCGTCAGCTAAATTCCCATCTAAAGTCCTCCTATTTTATGCCAAGTTTTGTACCTGAATTGTACATTAAAAGTTGATGAAAACCCCATGGGGGAAAATATTCTTTTTCCATGACAACAGTGAATTCCTTTATATGTCCACAGTGCAATTTTCAAAATCAAAGTAACATTGAAAGCTGGGCATGCATATTGGTTCTCCCAGGACTCAGGAGACTGCCACAGGAGGATCCCTGTGAGTGCAAGGCCAGCATGGACTGTGTGACAAGAGCCTTCTCAACAACAACAGCAGCAAGGATGCAGGGCTAACGAGATGGGCTCAACTGGGAAAGGAATGTAACGTGTGGTAGAAGGACAGAACTACTTCTGAAAGTTGTCCTCTGGCTTCCTAATGTGTGGCATGATACCACCCCAGCCCCCCAAACACATGTACAAAATATGCATAAATAAAAGGCGGCTGTAACATAGACACAACACTATAATCTGCAGACCTCGTTGAGATGAGACATTGTTATTTGTTCTGATAGCATCTTTTATAACCAAGACAAATTCAAAAGCATGCTTTGAACCACTTGAGCTGTTTGACTACTTCCTCTGAGTTGAAATATTCTCTCCTCATGGGAGGCATTTTAGACCTAGCCGGGCTGGTGGCCCGTGCCTTTAACCCCACCACTCAGGAGGTGGAGGCAGCTGGATCTCTTGAGTTTGAGTTCCAGGACAGCCAGATAGCCAGAGCTGTTACATAGAGAAACCCTGTCTCAAAAAAAAAAAACAACAAAAACAACAACAACAAAAAGACTCAAGGCCTAACAAAATGTACAAGGTTCTGGGCGTTTAGAAAGTTACAAAATTCATAAGGCCCTCTCAAAGGCATATAGGCAGTAAACAATTGCTGGGCAGGAGGAAGCTCCTTGTTGGAACTGCCTGCAAAGTAGCCGTCCTGTCCTCACCCACTCAGGAGTGGGCTTGCTGTGATGCAGCATACCAGGTCACCCACACTCAGGTGACACCTTGGCCAAGTAATACCAATAAATCACTTGGTTACCAAACTAGATTTGATTTGGGTGGAGTCATTTCTCTGACCCATAATGGTTCCTCTTATTAGAGTAAACAGATATTTGTTCTTCTCAGGAAAAGTTATGTAAGACATTCAGGCATTGCGTTCAGTTATGTCTTTTTTTAAATTTAGTGTGTGTGCACTCACATGTTCACAGGTATGTGTGATTGCTAGTGCATCTGTACATGTGTGTATGCAGCCAAGGGACATCCTCAGGTTTACATATATATACATATATGTGTATGTATATACCATATATGTGTATATATATGGTATATATGCATATGGCAGCATATGATGGCAGATGCCTTTAATTGCAGCATTAGAAAGACAAACAAATCTGTAAGAGTTCAAGGCTAGCATAGTCTATATAGGGAGTTCCAGGCTATCAAAGGCTATAATGACCCCCTGACTCAAAAAAACTTAAAAATAATTATAATTTTGATTTTGTTCCTACATGCACTTTTCCCAAATGCTGAAGTTATTCATGTCCACAGTTATTCCCAGTTCTGTTGTCATGCCTTTTAAACTCCTTTAATGTGTAGCCATTGTTCAATTTATGATAGATTTTGTTTGTCTGGTATATCTTCAGCTTCCATTCACACTGCACACTGTAGGCAGGAAGATAGTGCAAAGCATGCTATGGTGTTAGTTTGATGCCCGCAGATGCTCATGCTGGCCCTCACTTCCAGTACCACCTACATGAACTCTGATCTCGTGGTGAAAAGGGATCAACCAATCTTCCTTCTTTTTCCTTTTTTTGCTTTTTTGAAACAAGGTCTCATTCTGTAGTCTTGGCTGGTCTTGAATTCAGTATATGGCTGGTGATGTTCCTGCCTTAGCCTCCCAAATCCTGAGATCACTGGCAAAAGCATTCACTACATTCATCTCGACCACGTTTCTTTGCTGTGAGGTTTCTAGTCTACCCTTGTGCTTTGGTTTGGATATAGTTTAAATGAGTTGCCTAGAAGACTCACATATTGGAGGCTTGGTCCCAGCGTGGAAGTATTTAGATGCAGCAAACGGCAGCGCTTATAAAAGTTAAGACCTAGACATTTGTGTGCTCACTCTAGTAATCCCACATTTAGGAGGTGGTATGTGTGCATGCCATGAGTTCAAAGCCACGTTGGGCTACATAGTTGGTTCCAGATCAGCTTGGGATACAGAATAAGACATTGTTTTTTAAAAAAAGAAGGAAGAGAGAGAGAGAGAGAGAGAGAGAGAGAGAGAGAGAGAGAGAGAAAGGTAAAAGGCTGAGTCCAGGGTGGCTCACATATAATCCCAACATCCAGGACACTGAGGCAGGAGGATCCTAAGTCCAGCATAGCCTGAGTCACATAGAAGGTTTGAATCTTGCCTAGACTACATAAGGAGGCCCTGTTTCAAAAAAAAAAAAAGACAGCCTAGAATCTTTGTTTTGTTTTAAAGTTTGATGTTGCAGTTTTGTTCAGTGTGTGTGTGGTTATATGTGGAGGCACACAGCACACGAGTACCATGGACTTGTGGGTGTTGGTTGCTTCTCTCCTTCACTGTATGGATCGGAGGGGGTCAAACTCAGGTCATCAGGCCCAGTGCCGGTTTTCTATTTGTTTTCTCTTTCATGTCTACTTAGTGTGCATGTGATTACGCATGCTTGTAGAGTTCAGAGGGCAACTTTTAGAAGTTGGTTTTCCCCTTGAACCGTGTGAGTTCTGGAGATTAAATTCAGGTCATCAGGCTTACTGGCAAGTGTTTTTCAATGCTGAGCCCGTCTCACCTGCCCTAGAAGGAGATTTGTAAGTCAACTGGGAAGGGATTTGGAACTCCTAATGTGGGATGGCCCTCTGTATGCTATGAATATGTTTTATTACCATTGGTTGTAAGGAAGCTACTTTGGCCTATGGTAGGACAGAATAGAGCAAAGCAGGAAATCCAAGCAGAGATAAAGGAGAAAAGAAGGTGGAGTCAGGGAGACACCATGTAGCTGCTGAAGGAGAAAGACGCCAGAATCTTACCGGTAGGCCACAGCCTCGTGACAATACACAGATTAATAGAAATGGGTTAATTTAAGATATAAGAGCTGGGTAGTAATATGTCTAAGCCATCGGCCAAGCAGTGTTGTAATTACTATAGTTTCTGTGTGATTATTCGGGTCTGGGTGGCTGGAAAATGAAGGCACAGTCTCCGTTTACAGACCGCCAGCCTCTCTCGAGAGTCCATTTTCTAGAGGTCATTTCTCCTCCTCACACATACTTTTATATTGCTACCTGCCATGGTGTGACTCAACCAGCAGTTGGGGGGATTCCTCAGAACCAGCACAATGCTACCTACCATGGTGTGACTCAAGCAGCAGTTGGGGGGATTCCTCAGAACCAGTACAATGCTACCTACCATGGTGTGACTCAACCAGCGGTTGGGGAGCCTCCCCAGAACCAGCACAATGCTGCCTGGAGTTCCAGCCTCCAAAGGAAGAATGGGATGGTGGGAATTTGTTCAAATATCTGTTTGCAGTTTGGCATAGTGGTACACTCCTCTACTCCCACGGAGCAAGTTTCAAATACAATATTTTGAATGTATGTTCTCAGTCTTGAGGAACAAAAAAGAAAACATAAAACAAATACGGAACTCTAATTCATAACCATTTCCTCGTACTCCTGAATTAAGGACAATTCTGAAGCTACTTTTTATGTTTCTAGGAAATTAGAAGTATATTGGGAAGATGGAAACCAGGTTTCTTTTGGTTTTTCAGGACAGGGTTTCTCTGTGTAGTCCTGGCTGTTCTGGAACTCACTCTGTAGACCAGGCTGGCCTCAAACTCACAGAGTTCACCTGTCTCTGCCTCCTGAGTGCTGACATTAAAGGAGTGGGCTCTCATGCCTGGCTTGGAAACCAGGTTACAAATACAGAGACGTAGAAGGATGAAACAAATCTGGCAACATTAGTTAGAACTGGAGGTAGTGGGGGTCTGGAGAGACGGCTTTAGTGGTTAAGAGCACTCACTGACTGTTCTTCACTGGTCCAATTCCCAGCCCCTACATGGTAGCTCACAACTGTCTGTAAATCCAGTTCTAGGGAATCTGGCGTCCTCACCAATGCACATAAAATTTTTTAAAAAGTCTTTTAAAAATAGCGTGGGCACTGCCTTTAATCCTAACACTCCACTCAGGAGGCAGAGGCAGGAGGATCTCTGTAAGTTCGAGGCCAGCCTGTTCTACAGAGTGAGTTCCCAGATAGCCACACAGAACTACACAGAGAAACCTTGGCTCAGAAAACAAAAAACAAACAAACAAAAAACTGGAGGTATCAGTGTAAACTCATGATACAAATATACTTACCCATTTCCCATCTCCACCTCTAAGAGGGCCTAATATAACTTTAGTATTGATGAATAAATTATCATTCAGATTTTGCCTTCTAAATACATTTCACATTGGGTACTTCAAAAAAAAAAAACAAGCAAACAACAAATCATGAAGGTCTAGAAGTTTCTATTTTCTTTAGTATAATAAGTAGTCAAGACCACCTCACTTTATAATGACGTTGGTTTGGAGCACAGCTTTGGAGGCTGGAACTCCACGCAGTACTGTGTTGGCTCTGATGAGGGCCTTCAGCCCTTGGTCTCATCACACCATGGTAGGTGGTCACACTAAAAGCACGCATGAGAGGGAGAAGTAGCAAACTGTTTCCCAGCAATGCCACAGGCTGGAGGCCGTGGCTCAGTGTGGCACTCACCTAGTGTGCACAGGTGATAGGTTTGGTCTTTAGCCCCACACAGGGTTTCTCTGTGTAGCTCTGGCTATCCTGGAACTCAGAGATCCTCCTGCCTCAGCCTTCCAAGTGCTGGAATTAAAGGAATGCTCTGCTGCTGCCTAGCTGTACTTTCTCAAGCATTTGTTAGTAATACCAGAGTCCCTTCAGTCCCCACCAGTATGGACAGATTTGCTTGTCTACAGCTTCTCCAATAGAGGGAGCTGTGCTACTTTCGCAGTTTTTTACTATGCTAAACAATAACGATATTTTAGCATAGGTTTTTCATGGTAAAATACACAGAAAACAGAATTTATCATTTTAATTATATAATTTAGTAGTATTAAGCACATGTAAGTCTTAGATATATGGTTATGCAAACATAACCACCAGCCATTTCCAGACATCCCAAATAGAAAATGTATTCATTAAAAAGTAACTCCAGGGTTGGGCATAGTGGTGCACACCCTTGAGTTCGAGGCCAGCCTGGTTTACAAAGCAAGTTTCAGGACAGCCAGCGCTGTCATATAGAGAAACCTTGTCTCGAAACAAACAATAACAACAACAACAGAGTAATTCCAGGACTGGAGAGATGGTTCAGCACCTAAGAATATTTACTGCTCTCCTAGAGGACTCCAGTTATTTCCTCATAATTATCTTTAACTTTAGTTCTAGGAGAACCAGTTTTTTTTTGTTGTTTTTGTTTTTTTTTTTGGTTGGGGGAGGGTTAGATAGGGATTCTCTGTGTAACTTTGGAGTCTGTCCTGGAACTCACTCTGTAGACCAGACTGGCCTCAAACTCACAGAGATCCTCCTACCTCTGCATCCTGAGTGCTAGGATGAAAGGTGTGCGCCACCACCACCCGGCCAAGTGATAAAAAATTTAAGAGTAGGTGTGTGTCGTGAGCCTTATTCCTGAGCGGGCATTCTGCCCTTACTTAGAGGTCTGCAAATAAATACTCAGGATGACCACAGTGTTTGTTCTAGGAACAAGTTTATTATGCCAATAGTTAAATCTCCAATTGTTAGCAGGTATGGGCAAACATCAAAACTATAACAATCATTTAAATCCCTAATTATTCTTATATCAAATATAAGTAAACATCAAACCTATAACAATCCTAGTCGATCAATCACATCACACCTTCAATCACATCACACTTTCAGCAAAGGTTCCTATGTGTCCTAGGCAAGGTCTTCTATCCTATCTTACTGAGGCATTGGTGTATACGACCTGATAATGGTCCGTGGCTCTCGACGTAGGCCTCTGGATCAGCAAGTCTTGATCCGCAGGCAAGAGCTAGTTCTCTGGCTCTTGGACGGTCTCAGCTGTGGAGTTGCTGGTTCGTTGGATTCTCTATGACCGCTCTGACAGCATGTCTAGCAAGTCATTTTGAGAATGTCTCCTGGCCGTGAGCCTCAAGTTTTTATACTATTTTGTGGCTATGGTACTTTTTTTCTTTTTAGATTAACACACATGTCTGCTTATCATATAGTTACGTCACACTTGTTCACCAGCTCAAACTCTTATCACCACTGCACACATTGCTTCATGCTTTTTAGTTTCATTTTGTGTGTGACACCTAATATTGCGTTTTAACATTTCTGGGCTTATTTTTATAAACTCATATCATTTCATTTAATATTGTCTCCTAATACTCCTGGACTTATTTGTCCTTACAGACTCATAACAGTGTGTTTGTTCAACGCCTTTAATCCGATTATTCTGAAAACAGACAGGCAGATCCCTGTGAATTCAAGGCCAGCCTGGTCTACAAAGATTGTTCCAGGCCAACCAGGGATATATAAAGAGGGACCCTGTCTCAAAAACAAAAATCTTAATAAGAAAAAAATAACACCAGGGCCAACAATATTGCTCAACAGGTAAAGATGTCTGCTGTTAAGCCTGATGATCTGAGTTCAATCTCCAGGACCCAAATGGCAGCAATAAAAAATGAAAATAAAAAGTAATCAACACACCCTGCCCCTGCCCCCGCCCTCAGAGCACCTACAGTCACTCATGTGCAGGACCATGCAGATGTGTGCCTGGCTTACTTCAGTTAGTATGATGTTTTACAGTCTTACATTTCTCAGCACATGTCACGTTTGCTCTGAACAACTGAATACAGGTAACAATGCCATTAAAGAGTATTTGTACCGCTCTGTCTTCCCTGATGCTGTAGCTATGTAAATACAAGTTCCTGTTTTATTTTTGTTCCAGGTACTCACTGTGTGGCCCTGGCTGTCCTGGAATGCATTCTGTAGACCAGGCTGGCATAGAATGCATAGAGCCACTCGCCTCTGCCTCCCCAGTGTGAGGTGCCATAACCAGTCTGCATGCAAGTTTTTGTCAGTACATATTTTCTTTATCAATTTGGGGGTTTTTTTTGGTTTTTTTTTTTGAGGGGGGCTAGACAGGGCCTTACTACCTAGTTCTGACTTGCCTTAAACTCATAGCAATCCTCCTGCCTCAGCCTACCAAGTTCTGGGATTAGAGTGTGTGATATTACATTTTGCTATCTTTTATTTTTTATATCTGAGAGAATTGTTAGCTCCATGATAATTACTATTTATTTTTATTATTTATTTATTTGTTGGTTTTTCAAGACAGGGTTTCTCTGTGTATCCCTGGCTGTCCTGAAACTTGCTCTGTAGACCAAGCTGGCCTTGAACTCACAGAGATCCATCTGCCTCTGCCTCCTGAGGCTATTCCAGTAGGTGACAACTGTATCACTCTCCCCCTCAGGGTGAGCATCAAACCCAGGGTCATGTACATACTGGGCACTCGAGTGCTCTCCTCCTGAGCCACCTCCCCAGCCTGTGATCTATTGTAATGTTTTGTTTTTATTTTAAGATGCATTTATTTTATATTACGAGTGTCTTTCCTACATGCATGTCTATGTACCATGTGTGTATCTGGTGCCCTTGGAGGCCAGAAGCATTAAATGCTAACATCTAGGAACCAAATATGGGTGATGGGGAAAACTTGGGTCCCTCTGGGAGAGCAGCAAGTATTCTAAACTGCTGAGCTATCTCTTCAGTCCCTACCATAAAAGTTTTGATTGGCAGTAACTAATGAAATGGAACATACTACACGTGGTGATTGAAGATTTTCTTATCTTCTTTGGAGAAAATCTAGTCAAGTCCCTTGTCCTCGCTTGTGTGAGGTGTGTCCTCACTTGTGTGAGGTGTGTCCTCGCTTGTGTGAGGTGTGCTAGAGACTGAGCCCAGGGCCTGTGCAAGCCCGTGCTCACTGTTGAGCTACTTCCCAGGACCTCTTTGTCATTTTCTTTCTACAAAGAAAAAGGAGGGATTGGTGGGATAGCTTGCTTTGTTCCAAGCCTCATCACCTGAGTTTGAGCCCTAGGACCCTTATGGGTAGATGGAGAGAGCCAAGGACATACATTGTCCTCTGACCTCCACACAAACACTGTAGCACACACACACATGCACACACACAATGCAAATACATAATACTAATAATAAATAAAGTTTGTTTTAAATGTGATACATCACCTTCTCCAGTCCTTCTTGGATAGATCATAACATCATGGAGGAGGCAGGCAGCTGTCCCTCAGCCTGCCTCTATTGCTCCCAGCTGCCATGGCCCACACCCACACTGGCCCCAAGTGATGGCTTCCCCTCCAGTCTTCCAACAGCCTCCAAAATGGTTTTTCAATTTACATTTGAAAAATTATGTCATGCAGTACAGCAGTTTGAAAAGCCTTGCTCAAAATGTCATGCCCACCCAGACATGCAGTCTGGTTTGAGATAACAGGCTTTGCAGATATAATTAAGAAAATATATATATGTATGTATATAAACATATATAATTAAGGGTCTTGAGAAGACGTCATGAATTTAGGTCAGACCTTAAACCCAGTGACTTTACGAAACCGTCTTTACAGAAGTAGAAGGGGAGACTGAGGAACGGCTCGGCCAGGGAACTGCCGGCTGTGCGAGCTGCAGGGCCTGAGTTCAGTCCTCAAACAGCCAGACATGGTAGTGCCCTTTGCGGCTTCAGCAGGTAGGTCCCTGGGGCTTAATCACCAGCCATTTTAGCCTAATCAGCAAGCTTCAGATCCCAGTGAGAGACCTGTCTGGAAAAACAAGGAAGGTAGGCAATGTGGCTCAGTGCTTACAAATATTATGCTTACAAATATTATGACCTGAGTTCAGTTTTGGGGACCCACGTAGTAGAAAGGAGGAACTGACTCCTACAAATTGTCCTCTGACCTCCGTATGTCTATGCATACAAAATAAGTAAGTATAAAAATTTTTTAAAAGCCACAAGGTGGCAGCACTCAGAAAGTAGAGACAGGCAGATCTCTGAGTTCAAGGCCAGCCTGATCTACAGAGTGAGTTCCAGGAGAAAAAAGGCTACACAGAGAAACCCTGTCTGGGAAAAGGAAAAGAAAAAAAAAAAAGGTCCCGATCAACATGGTGGCACAGGCACAAATCATTTAGTCCCAGATTTGGGAGGCAGAGGCAGCTAGGGCTACACAGAGAAATCTTGCTTTAAAAAAAAAAATAGATGAATAAATAAAAATAAAAGATAACACTGGCTGTTACGCTGAGAACAGTTCTACAGCAGCAGGAACCAGTAACTGCTGAGCCTTGCTCCCACCCCTTCCAAGGTGTAACCTGTTGAGGGCAACGCTGTCTGGGCAGGCTGGCCTTGGCCCCTCCACTAGAAGCAGACTGATTTTCACAGAGCATTGGCCGCTGGCTTCTGGTTTAGAATCCAGTGAGGCTGCCCTTGGGGATCCTTCGGGAGGGCAAGGGAAGGACCCAGAGTGCAGACTCCAGCCTTGAGGACGAACTCTGTCATCCCTTCTGCCCACGGGGAAGTATTAATCCCAATCCAGGTACCACACCTCATTGTGTGCAAGCCTGCTATTCCTCGGTGGACCACACGGCTGGCATTGCAGTGGGATGTGGAAATGCCGGGATTCCTGTCTCATGAAGCTGGCTGGCACAATGACAACCTTTACCCTTCTCAGAGGTACTTTCCACACCTGGGATTGGTCACAGAAGACTTTGCCTCCCAGGGCCTATCTTCAGGAAGAATCCTCTTGCCTGATCTTCCCAGGCTGTCCAAGTACCCCCCACCTTCCCCGCGGCCCCCCAAATCTTCCAGGTCTAATGGATTCCTGCTGAGAACAGTGTGAGTGCCGAGCCCTGCTGCTCCTCCTCCAGCGTTCGGTGGAAGCCCAGGCCCCAAAGCCGCCTCCCTGCCACCCCAAGGAGGACTCAAGGACAAGGGCGAAGCAGGGTCGCTCAAAGCTCCGCAGCCGACCTGGGCGCTCGGAACAAAGGCATAGCGATTCCAACTGCCTGTGAGCCGCCAGCGAAGGGAAGCATCAAGCAGCAGGTTCTGGAGTCCCTCACCGTCGCTTGTTTTGTTTCTTGAGACTGCCCAGGCTGCCCTGGTGCTCATCAGAAATCCAGACTGGCCTCTCAGTCCTCCTCCCTTGTCCTCCCAAGAGCTAGAATTACAGGCATGAGACATTGTACTAGAGGAACACTGACAAGCCATACTGCAAAGGAGGAAACAGAAATAAAAATATGGGGGAGGGGAAGTAAACTACTGTAACCTTGATTTTTCCATGCAGATATATTGTTAATATTACTTCTTTTTTGTTTTTACTTTTAGGATTTTGTTTTTAGACAAGGTCTCATTAAGCCAAGGGTAAGTGCTTTACCACTACACTGTATCCCCATCCTTTACGTTTTTTTGAGCCAGAATTTCATCAACCCAGACTGTCCTCCAACTTGCTATGTTGTGGAAGGGGGGCTTTGGTCATCCTTTCTCAATCTACTAAATGCTGAGATTACTGGCACACATCTGTTAGGCGCCAAGGAAATTCAGGACAAATGACTACCTGAGGTGCCTATTAACATATCAAAGTGGATGCTGGCTAACCGCTCTCTTAGCTGGCTCCTATGGCACTTCTTACCTCACCCTGCTACCCCAGATGTCTCCAGTCCTGAGCTTCTCCCGCTTTCCCCATTGTCTCCTTCCTACATAGCCCAGCCATTTTGGTCAAGCGCTCTCTTGACCTCTTGGTTCTTCTCCCTCTCCTGGTCTCCTCTCTTGTCCCTCCCTCTTATCTTCAGCTCTGCCACCTCCCTCTGCCCCCATCTCATGGCCTGGTTCAGTGTGGACCCTTCAAGAAGCCTCTGGCTGTACTCTCCCTCCTAACTACATAAGAAACCTTCTCCTCAGCCATACCTAGGAATGGTCAGGATTAGAAGGATTTGGAGGGATGGTCTTGTTAGCGGAAGTGTGTCACTGGGGGTGGCCTTTGAGGTTTCAAAAGCCCACACCACGCCCAGTTCTTCAGTTTCTGTCTCTCTCTTTCTCTCAACCTGTGGATCAGGATGTAGCTCTCAGCTCTACTGCTCCAGCATGCTCCCAGCCATGATGCTAATAAACTAAACCTCTGAAACAATAAGCAAGTCCCCAGTCAAATGCTTTCTTTTGTAAGAGTTGTCTTGGTTATGGTGTCTCTCCACAGCAACAGAACACTGCCTAAGACATGTTGAACAGCTATAATTACCCCCTTGCGAGGGTAGAAGCAGAAGGTTCAGGAGTTCAAAGTCAGCCTCAGCTGCAGCAGAAGTTTAAGGCTGGCTTAGGACAGATGAGACCCTAACTCAAGAAAACAAACAAAAAAAACTAAAGGAATATAATATATTAGTTAGGTATAGTCTTTTTGTTTTTTTGTTTTTGAGGAACTCCTATGTCAAACAGGCTTCTTTGTCAACAGAGGCCCAGGGAGGGAAGGTACCGTGGTATTCAGTCCAAGCAGGCTCAGTTGACCCCATGGCTTTGACTTGAGCTCCACAGCAGCCAGATGCCACCTCCCCTGAGCCATGCTTCAAGGCTGTTGAAACTTTCTATGGCCTAGCCCCTGGGCAAGGTTAGGCTTCTCTTCTGGACACCAGCATCACGTGGTACATTTGTGGTATATTTCTGTCCAGAGGTCTCCACACTCCTCTGACTGCCAGGGTTGAAGAAGCATCACACTTAGCTACCCACAGGGAATTCTTCCTTGTTCTGTCTCCAGGCAAGGCCCCAGATCCCTTCCTGTATATGTGTCAATAAGGGCTCAGGGGTGCATAACCCTAGTTATGCACCTTGTGAGGCGGAGTCGGGAAGACCACAGACTCAAGGACTGTATGGGTGGCTTAGGTACACCCTATTAAAACAATAAGGACCTGCAGCCGCCGTGATGTTGATGCCCAAGAAGAACCGGATTGCCATCTATGAGCTCCTTTTTAAGGAAGGAGTGATGGTTGCCAAGAAGGATGTCCATATGCCCAAACACCCCGAGCTGGCAGACAAGAACGTGCCCAACCTTCACGTCATGAAGGCCATGCAGTCTCTAAAGTCTCAGGCTACGTGAAGTAGCAGTTCGCCTGGAGACACTTCTATTGGTACCTTACGAATGAGGGCATCCAGTATCTCCGCAATTATCTCCACCTGCCTCCGGAGATCGTGCCTGCCACCCTGCGCCGCAGTCGTCCCGAAACTGGCAGGCCTCGGCCCAAAGGGTCAGAGGGTGAGCGCCCGGCAAGATTCACAAGAGGGGAGGCAGACAGAGACACCTACAGAAGGAGTGCTGTGCCCCCTGGTGCTGACAAGAAGGCCGAGGCCGGGGCTGGCTCAGCCACCGAGTTCCAGTTTAGAGGAGGCTTTGGTCGTGGACGTGGTCAGCCACCACAGTGAGCTTGAAGACTGTTGTTTTGAATAAACTTTAAAGAAAAAAAAAACAAAAAAACCAAAACAACAAAGAGAAAACTAAAAGACAACAAAACCCACCGAGGGTGAAGCTCAGCAGTTTGCCTGACACACAGCCCATCCTCTCACCCTTGGAGTCCTGACTCACCCAGTTGCATGTGTTGCTCTAGGCAACTGGGAGCCTAAGACAGGCATCTCCAGGGAAGGAAACAATTAAGAGCAATATGGTCCTGCACAGTGTGCTTTGCAGTGAACACAGAAGAGAACGTAACCAAACCCCAGCCCCCGAGATGGAATCTTCCATTTGAACTCGGATGAAGAGCACCCACCCGGGCGCTGCTCCCGAGCCCCAGATAATAACTGCTATAGTCGCCTCCATCCCTGGTCTTCTGATTCACAGGCTGTCTATAGCCTCTCTAGGATCCTGTGATCCAGTCCAAGACCGGTCTCTTGGCCTCTGTGAGTCGTCACCCTCTTTATACCTTTACACTGCAAGGGACAGGGTGAGCTCCCTCCCTGAGTGCCTTTGAAGCCAGACACTGGCCTCACCCCGGCAGTCCCCTAGACTATCTCCAGCATGCACCTTGATACTGCCCTCCCTGGCCCAACTCTCGCTTCTTTTAAGGAGCTTCCCAGGCTTTGTGTCTTCGAGCTCTGGACTCCAAGGCCACGACTCTTCTAACAAAGAGAGTCAGTCACTCTAGAAGTTATCACGAGGATCAGGTAGAGCTGCAGAGCTCATGAGGTTCAGGCCGTTTAAACAGTCAATACAGGGGCCTCTTAAATCCTTCAGCTTCATTCTGGCTGGTCTTGGCACTAACCCTGCGCTCTAGGCCTTTGCCTTCATCTTTTGCCCACATCTAATTCTGTGCTCAGCCTTAAGAAGGCTCCTTGGGGAGTTGGTCCGTTACCCAGAAGCCAGGAGCAGTTGATTGAACTTTTATTTCAGAGCCAGGGAAAAACAATAGCTAGTCTACTTTAGAGCCAAGATCAGAACGGACCCGCGTCACATGCCTTTGGAGAAAGCCCTTTGCTTCAACGAATCATTTCTGGGAAAGGGTAATAGGCAGGAAAAGCCGCCATTGGCATTTTATTTTCAGCTACTGATGACAGTAACCACTGCAACTGAGCAGAGCTTGCCTCTTGTCAGGGTGAGAGTAAGATGCCCAAAAAGGTTCAGCCAGAAGGAATCATTGCCAGGGTGGGTCCTACTGATGGATGGTGCCTTATCAGGAGAGGGCAGCCAGGGAGAACAGCCCTCCGGGACTCCTGTGGGATAGCACATTGTCAGGACAAAGGGGCTGGACTGGGCAGGTTGACTCTGGAGAAGGTTATCCACCAAGGGGAGGCCCAGATGAAACGTGTGAAAATCGTACCTTTCTTGGAGAAGTGGCAGCACGGGCCTCTATATGGATGAGGGCAGGGACAGCTCCAGTGTGCCATGATATTTAGGGCCCAAGGCAGGGAGGAAATGGCAGAGTAGGTTGAAGGCTAGACTGTTTCTTCTCTACACCCACCCCAGGGTTACCCAGCCCCCTACCATGCTGCCTCTCACCCAAAGCTTGAGCTCCCATTGGTTTTCAGGACCCACATGTGCCCAGGGCTCTGCCAGAGCATTAAAGTGGGAGTCGGGAGCCTGAAGAGGAAGCCATCTGGCGACAAGAAGTGATCTCAGAGAGTGTTATCTGATGACCCAGAGATGAAAGGGTTGGAGGTGGGGGGACAAGCCTGGGGTGCTCGGTATGGATGCTCAGAGGGCCTTGAACCCTTCCAGAGCACAGTTTGTATTCCAAGGAGGGAGAAAAACAAGAAACGGAAGCTGAAGAAGGATGCCAAAGGAGGCAGTGACCAGTCCGCAGGTCACGGGGCTCAACAGGAACAAGACAGCAATTGGCTTCCAATCAGCTCACTGGCAGCTGGAAGTCCTGTGGAAACAACCGCCCCTCCCCACCCCCTTCAGCTGTCTCCTCTGTGAGAAGCATCAGGGAGCCACAGGGTGGGTTGAGAGCAGCTCCTGGAGAAGGACAATGGCTGAGCTTTGATGATGACCCAGACCACTCTGGCTTAGCCGGGTGAGCCCAGGAGGACTGGGGAGCTAGGAGGAGTTACAGTGCCAGCCACGGTGTAAGAGGCCTGAGTTTGTAAGCACTGTCAAGCTGTTTCAACACCCCCTGCCTCTACTTTTGGAATACTAGAATTATTTCTGTTTGGGGTGTGTGTGTTTGAAACAGAATCCCACATAGCTCATGCTGGCAATATACCCACTATGCAGATGAGGCTGGCTTTGAAGTCTTTGAAGCCCTTGCCTCCTTCTCCCAACTGTTGGGATTACCCCACCCATTTTGTTTTGTAGAGAAAAAGTCTCATTGTACAACCTAGGCTATTCTCAATTCTCACAGTCCTCCTGCCTCATAGGGAGTCCAAGGCCAGCCTGACCCCACCCCCACCCAGAGTATGAGGATTACAGGCATGTGTCACCACACCCTGCTTTTAAAATCTTTATTATTTATTAATAATTTGAGTCTTACTTTGTAGCCCCTCTGGCTTGGAACTCACTATATAGACCAGGCCAGTATCGCCACACCTAGCCCTGCTATTCTTTTTTTTTTTTTTTTGAAGATTTCTTTATTATACATACAGTATTCTGCCTGCATGTGTACCTGCACCCCAGAAGAGGGCACCAGATCTCATTATAGACGGTTGTGAGCCACCATGTGGTTGCTGGGGATTGAACTCAGAACCTCTGGAAGAGCAGATAGTACTGGTAACCTCTGAGCCATTTCTCCATCCCAAGCCTTGCTATTTTTGATAAATAAATTGTTTGTTTGTTTTTGTTTTTGAGACAGGGTTTCTCTGTGTAACAGCCCTAGCTGTTCTGGAACTAGCTCTGTAGACCAAGCTGGCCTCAAACTCACAGAGATCTGCCTGCCTCTTCCTCCTGAGCACTGAGATTAAAGGTGTGCGCCACCGCTGCCTGGCGCTTACATAATTTCTATTCAGCAGTCTTCTCCATACATCTGGTAGTAGGGTGAGAAGGTTGATCAGTGTGAACTAAATTCAGGAGCATGTTTGTATTGGTTAATTTTCTACTGCCATGATAAAACACCATGCATGACCAAGGCAACTTGTAGAAGGAAGTTGATTTGGGCTTAAGTTTCCAGAATAAGAGTTTGCCACAGCAGGGAATCGGCATGGCAGCAGGAGCAGGGAACAGCGCTCACATCTCAACCATGAGGACTAGGTAGTGTAGGTACACAGGTCCCCATTTTTCCCGAGGTGCTATGCAGGGCTGTTCTGCTTCCTGGTTCCACTGCATCAGCTTAAGGGTGTGGCATAGAACTGCCCTCTCCTGTTATGTTAATTTCACCTACGGCCCAAGGGTGTAGCTCAGAGAGAACTCTTCTATCATGGTAATTCCACCTGCAAGCAAGGTTCTCGCCGCAGGCAAGGTTCCCTGGTCAGAGAAGGAAAGCTTCCTCTTTTCTCTGTTCAGCTGCTGTCCGACCTTGGGTGCGACCCCCTGACTTTTCTCTTTCCTTGATCCTGATGGGGGGCTGGTGTCCTTTTGCCCCACAGTATATATATCCGACTTGTGCTTAATAAAGCTGCCATTTGCCACTGCTCCTTGGCAGATGAGCCAGGTCTCTTTGTGTATGTGTCGTCTCTGTTCAAACCCCTAGGACATGCGTCCGTTCTCGTGGGCTCGAGTCAGGAAAGCGCGCGCCTGTTTCGAGGTTCGGGTGTCCACAGAAAAGTGCGGAAGCTTACAAGGTAGAGAGAGCAACTGGAAATGTCAGAGATCTTTAACCTCTCACAGCCTCCCTTGTGTGACATATTTTCTCCAACATGGCCACACTTCCTAACTTTCCCCCAAACAATGCCAGCAAGTGGGGACCAAGTTGAGCCTATGGAGGACATTCTCATTCAACCCATTACAATGTACAATAAGGCAAACTGTATCTTCTAAGTGAACTTTTGGGGGAAATCCGCTGTTTACCATCTTATGCCTATACATAAGTGGGCGTGCATATGACTAAAATCAGCTGCATTATGGGAAAGGGTCTGCAGAGTGAGCAAAGGCTGCCAGTCAAAATAGAGAAGCACCCAAACCACACACCCTGGTAACTAGTGAACCTCATAGAGGAAAGCTCCACTCGGGTGACCTGCCGCCACACTCTATAGTGCATCTGGCCTGTTCTTGGCTTTGGATAAAGTTTCATTGCCACTTTTACAAATCTGTGTCTTCATTTCAATTCCCTGAAAAAGGATCAAGAACCTGGAAACATCTGGTCCAGACCCTGACCACTGGTAAACCTTGGAATGCTGAAGCAGGAAGTCTGTTATGAGTTCAAGAGTTACATAGTGGGGCTGGAGAAATGGCTCAGAGGTTAAGAGCACTGACTGTTCTTCCAGAGGTCCTGAGTTCAATTCCCAGCAACTACATGGTGGCTCACAACCATCTGTAATGAGATTTGGTACCCTCTTGTGGCCAGCAAGCACATAGACAAACAGAACACTGTTACATAATAAATACATAAATCTTTAAAAAAAAAGTTACATAGTGAAATGCTATTAATAAAATGAAGCCAGGCGGTGGTGGTGCATGCCTTTAATCCCAGCACTTGGGAGGCAGAGGCAGTTGGATCTCTGTGAGTTTGAGGCCAGTCTGGTCTACAAGACCTAGTTCCAGGACAGGCTCCAAAGCTACAGAGAAACCTTGTCTTTAAAAAAAAAAAAACCCCGATAAAGTAAATAAATAAACAAAAATGTACATATATATTATTTTCTCCTAAAATTGCTACCTATTGTAGTCAACGTTGGCTTTGAAATCTTAGTCCTCCGATCTCTGAGATTACAGCTATGTATTATCATGTGTGTTTATATGTGTTAATTAATTTTTTAAAAACACAATATCTTTATTGGTTCTATGCTTTGAAAATAACTTCCACAATATTTATTTAATTCTTATGTGTTCGGGTGTTTTGCCTGCTTGTATGTTCGTGGACCACCTGCCTGGTACTCATGGAGGCCATAAGAGGGCATCAGAGACCCTGAACTGGAGTTACAGACCATTGTGAGCTGCTGCGCTCTTAATCAATGCACCATCTCTCCAGACTCTAAATAATTGTGTCTATGTGTGTTCATAAGCTTGTGTGTGGAGATCGGAGGATAACTCTGTGGATTCATTTCTCTTCTTCCATCTTTATGTGAGTCCTAGGGATTAAAGCCGGGTAGGCAGGCTGGGCAGCTAGCGCCTTATAAAACGACCTTCTGGCTAACCCAGCTATCTAACGGAGCCTAATTCGCCGGACCACTTATTTGTTATTTTGAGACAAGGGTTTGACATCAGTGATTTATGTACAAAGATACTTATAACAAACCTATGATCGATTGCAGATGATATGATTCTTGACGGCCCTTGAGTTGCTGGAGAATGCCCAGGAAATGACGTTGAGAAATGATGGAGCCAAGGAGGTAAAGGAATCAGAAAGGAGGGTGGGACCCAAGGATTGCAGAGTCAGGGACACGAAGGAGTAAAGGGGATGAACCTTTCTGCTGGTGGGTGTGGGCCCGACAACCCCAGGAAGTCAGGATACGCGAGCACGCAAAATACAGAAAGAACGCAGAGTCCTGAGCCATCCCAAGTCTCACCTCCACAGTGCAAGGTTTCTGGGACAAAATGCTAGGAGTCAGGGCTATACTAGCAGGAGGTGACCACAACAATGGTCTAGGGCCAAACTAGTGCCGAAGGATGGACTAATGGGCGAGGGCTGTAGTAATGGTTGAGAGCCGGACTAACGACGAACAATGCTGCGCAGTTAGGAATTCTTGTCTGTATAATCCAGTTAGCTCAATGAAGAGGAGAGCATTTCCATTCCTTCAATTGGGCAGAAAAGAACCTTTAAATAAATGTACTGGCTTCCTCCGCAGGGTACCAGATCAAATACTGCGTGAAGTGAGTGGAAAGACGTCAGTAAACCATACCCGGGATCCGAAATCCAGGCTGCTCCATCCGAAAAGCTCCATCACTACTGGCTCCGCCCCCTTCAAGGTAATGAGCTAGCCTCTCACGCCGATTGATCAAGCAGTCCACTCGCTCTGTTGCAAAGGTAATATCCGGATAGGCGGAATTTGTCAAAGGAATGGATCGCCCTCATGGCCCTACTGCGCATGCTCGCCCCGTGACCCCAGCTTGAGGTGACGGCGGGAGCCAAGGCGGGGTCCCAAAAGCACAGAGGGTGAGGGACCCGCCGCAGCTCCGTCGTCCAAGAGGCTGGGCCTGCTGCCGTCGGTGAGGACGGGCCCCAGCGGGCGGGAGGGTCCCAGCCTGCGAAGCTACTCCCGACCTAGCTGTCCCGGGATCCGGGATTGGTGCTAGGAAAGGGTCCCTGGCTCTGCCCCTCTCATTGCTGGCCATCCGCAAAGCGCTTCCTTTCTCCATGCTTCCCTTTGACTAACCCACCCTACCCCTGAACCGAACCTGAACACCCCCAACCTGGGACCCCACCCTCCTAATGCTCACCTACCCCAATCGGTGTCCATTCTGCCTGGTACACACCCATCCTTAACCTCTGCAGTTTTGTCGCTTCTGTCCTGGGGGTTCTTGTCCCAATGGCAGAATTTGAGGGCTGGAAGCTGGGGAGATGCTTCAGAGACTAGATGGAGGGCATTGGTGGGAGGGGAGCAGGGAACTGGGGCATTTTAGGCTCAAGACCAAATGTGTTGGGCAAGGGTGGTGAAAGGTATCATTCTGGAGTCAAGGTGATTAGGAGATGGGAGAAACTTTGCTCTGTTCTACATATTCAATTCTTGGCCTTTTGGGAGGTTCACTGCCTTTTTCTTCCATCTCCCTTGAGAATGTGTCCTGCACGCCCCAGCGTCATATCGTTCCCTAAGCAGTCCGATCACAAGCCCTCCATGACTGTGCAGGATAGTGACTTTGGGAACGCTGTTGGCATCCTGACTTCAACGACTTTCCCCTTCACCAGATGCTAGCAACTCCAGTTACACAGATCAAACCAGCCCAGAGAGGGTAAGGGGGTCTGTCCTTCTCTTGGGACATTGCTGTTTCACCCTCATCTTGATGAAGGTAATTCCATTGAGCACCCCAAAATAACAAGAGAAGTTCCAAATCTCCAATGCCTGTCAGTAAGAGTTTGGACCTTAATTGTTTTATGGCCACCATAACAAATCGCCACCAATCTAGTGACTCAAAATAGCACAACTTCATTATGGTACATTTTAGAGGCCAGAGTCTGATGTGGGTGTTGTTAGTGCCAGCCGCTGTAGTCCTCCTGAGGCTTTAGGGGCACTTTTCTAAAAAAAGCTGGTGATGCCCTTGCTTGGTCCCCTGCCAGCCCTTGAATCCTTTCTCCACCCTTATCTTCCTTATTCTTTACTGCCACTTTCACATTTTTTCTTTTCTTTCTTCTGCTTCTTTTTAAAATTGTGTTTATTTTGTGTGTGCCACATGTGTGCAGTGCCTGTGGAGGCCAGAAGAGGGCATTGGATCCGAGCTGTACAGGTGGTTGTGAGCTGCCTGATGTAGGTCCTGGGAACCAAATCCCCATCCTCTGGAAGAGCTGGAAACCCCTGACCACTGAGCCATCCATCCTGCCATGTTTTTTCTGCTTGATTTGGGGAGGGGGCCGGAGTGTGTATATGCCTGTGGCTGCCAGAGGACAGCTTGTGGGAGCTGACCCTCCTACCAGGTGGATCATGGGATGGAACTCAATTCTTGAGGCTCAGTGGAAAGCACTCTTACCTGCTAAGCCATCTTGATAACCCTTGTTTTGGAGGCAGACTCTGGATAAGTAGGTTTGACTTGAACCCCCCAGTCCTCCTGCTTTAGCCTTCCTACCGCTGGGATTGTAGGTGTATGCCATGACACCAGCCTCAAGGGACTGGGACCTGGACATCTCAGGAGTCGTTATTCTGCCTCTCACAGACTGATGATATGTGAATGACTCCCACCCATTGTATGCTCTTGGGTCTTGAGCCGTCTTTGCTCTTCGGGGTCTCCTTGGTCACGACCAAGCTCATGCGAGCTGCTTCACTTGGCAACGCTGGGGACTTAATGTAGGCAAGCTCTCAACCGGGGCTACACCAACTCTTCACCTTTTTTTGGGGTAGTGGTGGGGATCAGTGTGTGTGTGTGTGTGTGTGTGTGTGTGTGTGTGTGGTGTGTGTGTGGGTGGGTGTATAATGCTGTACACATGCAGAGGCAAGAGGAGGATGTTGAATGCCCCCTGCCCCCTACCTACCTTATTTCCTTGAAACAAAACCTCTGACCTGAATCAGAAGCTCACCATTTTAGTGAAGCAGATCAGTCAGCCAGAAAGCTACAGGGACTGCAGGGATCCGAATGTCTCCGCTTCCAGTGCTGGGTTTAGGCATGTATGGCCAGGCCTGGCTTTTTCATGGTGCTGAGGACTTGAACTCAGGTCCTCAGGCTTGTACAGCAGGTGCTTTTTTCTTCTTGAAGTTGGAATGCATGACAGTCCTGCCACTTCACTCTCCTTAGTCTAGGATTTTAGGTGTGAGCCACCATACCTAGCTTCACGTAGCTATTTATTTATTTATTTATTTATTTGGTCATTCGGTCATTCATTTGTTTGAGACTGGGTCTCACGTAGCCCAGGCTGATCTTGAACTCCTGGTCCTCCTGCCTCACCCTCATATGTGAAAGATCTAGTCTGAGGCTGTTTATTTCTAAGCAGAAGACTAATAAAATAAAATTTACCTTTCAAGTAAATGTATCCTATCTTTTAAAATGTTAAATATGTGCCTACTGCAAAAAAGAAAAAAGAAAAAAAGAAGAAGAAAGAAAGAAAGCAAGAAAGAGAGTTCGTGGACGTTACGATTTGGGAAGGTGGGTCTGGAGAGATGGCTCAGCAGTTAAGAGCTCTCACCGCTCTTCCAGAAGCCCCAAGTTGGATTCCCAGCATCCCTGTTGGGCAGCTCACAACCACCTGTAACTTCAGCTCCAAGTGATCCGACACCCATTTCTAGCCTCAGTGGGCACCTGCACATGTGGCATTCACTCACGCAGACACACATACATATAAATAAAAAGTATTTTTTTTAAAAAAAAAAAAAAAGATTGTGAAAGGTGGAATTGGGAACGGCAAAATCCCTCATTCTCATCATCATCCCGGATTCATCCCAGATCATAGGCGCTGTCGTGCAGTCTTGGCAGATTTGAAGAGCATTAGCCAGGCGTTTTTGTGGAATAACCGGTAATGGGGCGCTGAGGTTTCCTGGGATCCCACAGAGGTGAAGGCCTCACTCAGCACAGCTCAGTGATGTCTCCTCACATCTGTGTGACTCATTGCAGATATTGTTGACTCTGATCACCTGGTGGAGGTGATGAATGAGCCCTGTGGTTCCTAGTATCATCCCTGTTTCCTTGGGAATGAGTCACTAAATGACAAGGGAGAGGACTTAAAGTCCGTCTCAAGGAGGAACATCCTCTTTAGAATCCTGTTTGCTTGAGACAGGGTCTGGTTTAGCCTGACCTGGCCTTGAACTCTATATGGCCAACGGTGACCTTGAACTCCCAGTGCTGAGATTATAGTCATGTGCTACCATAAAGGTTTGTGTGGCATTGGCACTGGAACCCATGGTTTTGTGCATGCTGGACAGACACTCTCCCAACTCTATTCCCAGCCCTGAAACTCTTGAGGAAGACTCGGGCCCTCTCTAATGTATATTGTTATTTATATCTTTATGGACTTGTGGATATTTATTTTATTCTTAGGGTTATAATCCTACCCGCTTAAGGGTGGACTCACTCTGTGGAGTGCTTTTCTTACTGGAATTGGCTCTTGGCCAGTGGGACTGGGTTCCAGTCCTGACTCTCACCAGCTGTGTGGTACTAGGCCACACCACTAAGTGCCCAAGGTCACCTCCCTGGGGGCAGAGTGGGATAGTGCTAATACTTGGGTTCCTGTAATGAATATCAAGATTGACATCAGATCTTGTCCCTGACTCGGGCTGCTCTGTGCTGGACTTGGCAAGAAGGCCGGTGGGGCAGGTTACCTGACCTCTTCCTCACACCATTTCATCCAAGAGGTTTCTGGGTCTCTCTGTTGTATGTATGCATGTGTGGCATAGTGTGTGTATACGTGTGACATACCGTGTGTATGTGTGTCTGCAGGTGCTCTCGTGTGCATGTCAGAGGTTGGTACTGTGTATTTTCCTTGACCTCTGCAAGGTCTCTCACTGAACCTAGAGCTCACTGTTTTGGCTAGGCTGGCATCAAACTATCCCCTGGAGTCTCCCTGACTCAGCTCCCCCCCCCCCCAGTGCTAACCACACCAGGCTTTTTATGTGAGTGTTTGTATCCAAGCTTGGGACTTATACTTGCACAGCAGGACTTTGATCACTGAGCCTCTGGGTCACTTTTGTCTTTGTCAACTTGGGTTCTAAGTCTGAAACAAGATCTTTTCCTCCCTGTGCTATGGATTGACCATTTGAATGCTAGGCAAGTGTACTGTGTTCCTGAACTATATCCCCAGCCTAAAACTAAGATTTTTTTTTTGACAAGATCTTATTATATAGTCCTGGATGTCCTGGAACTGGAACTTTTTATATAGACAAGGCTGGCCTCAAACTCGGAGATCTGCCTGCCTCTGTTTCCTGAGTGCTAGGTTTGAAGGCTTGTACCATCATGCCTTATCCTAAATTTTAATATGCTTGATTTTATTCTAGTGATTTGTATTAATCTTTCTTTGTTTGTTTTTGAGACAGGGTTTTTCTGTGTATCCCTGACTGTCCTGGAACTTGCTTTGTACACCAGGCTGGCCTCACTCACGGAGATCCACCTGTCTCTGCCTCCTGAATGCTAGGATTAAAAGATTGTACCACCACTGCCCAGCGATTTGTAGTAATCTTATTTACTTGCTGTTTAACTTTTTTTTTTTTTTGAGGTTCCAGGGATCTAACGTAGAACCTTGTGCATGCTTAGTGTGAGCACTACCACTGAGCATGCTAGGTGTGAGCACTACCACTGTGCATGCTAAGTGTGAACACTACCACTGAGTATGCTAAGTGTGAGCACTACCACTGTGCATGCTAAGTGTGAGCACTACCACTGAGCATGCTAGGTGTGAGCACTATCGCTGAGCATGCTCATTTGAGCACTACCACGGAGCTGTTCCTCAGTCCAGCTTATGTATATTTTCTTTCCTGACATTTGCGTTGTACATTTCCTGACCCTTTTCTTCTGAGTAATGGACTACTGGGAAAAATTACGTTGTGAATACATATGACTCATCTTTTTGTAGATGTTAACTCTATTGCCACTGGGGGCACGGGAATGAGTTCATGTAAGATAGTAAAACAGTGAAGGGTGAAATCGCTCATTCCCGCCATCACCCTAAGCTACATCTCAGATCCATTTGGTAGCACTCCATCTTCCTCCACTGACTGCTTTGCCTCCTCCCTTAGGACAGAGCCCCTGGACTCCCAGGTTCCTGGCCAGGGAGGAGGAGGCAAAGGAGAGACCTATCTGCTAGGGCGACGTGGCCTGAGGGACAGGCTACTGGTCCTGGGATGCCCCAGCCCAAGCCCAGTGAGCAGGAGGGTGAGAGCATGAAGGCCGGCCAGGAGCCAGCTCCCCAGCCTGGCACGGATGTGGTCCCGGCAGCCCCCAGGAAGCCCAGAAAATGCTCCAAACTGGTTCTGCTGACAGCTTCCAAAGACAGCGCCAAAGTGGCCGGGGCCAAACGCAAAGGAGTGCACTGCATCATGTCCCTGGGGGTGCCAGGCCCCGCCACCCTGGCCAAGGCCCTTCTCAAGACTCACCCCGAGGCTCAACGGGCCATTGAAGCAGCGCCCCAGGAGCCCGAACAGAAGCGCAGCAAGCTGGACCTGGGTGAGGCTCCTGTCGCTGGCGCTGTCCCCTCAGAGATACGTGGTCCCTTTCAGAGCTGCCATAGGCAACTGGCTCCAGTTCTGAGAGTCCCCACTCTTCCCTTTGCTGTCATGATCCCTGCTCCTCTACTTCTCTGAGCACAGGTGGGAGGGAGAGGGCTCAGGGGTTCTAGGTGCTGCTGGGTTCTCCTCGAGGAGCCTGGGACCTGTCTTAACCCCTCCTAGTCTTGCCAAGTAGCCTTGTTCCTTAGAGTTCCCTCTGCATGGCCTGCATGCCTTGCTTCATCACAGGAGTGCCGGAGGTTGAGGTGGGCCTGCTGCTATGCACGTCCATGCTGGAGGCTGCTGGTGACTCTCAAGGCCTTGGCTACACACAGGTGTTTCCCAAGGCCTGGGCTTCTTGGGCACCTGCCACATGTTCCACAAGCATCTCATAGCCGGTACAAAAAGTGCCGTCATTTCTTTAGTCGGCCAGTTCACCCGTCTGTAGACCTGCAGTTCTGTGTTCACTGGGCGCTGGGCCTCAAGGCCAACAGAAGCTGTGGGGACCCCCCTCCCTGTCCCTTCTGACCCAGCCTCACCCACACTGAAGCCACTACAGCGGATAGAACAGGGCTCCAGGACACTGCCAGGGGGCGGCAGAGTAGTCTCAGAAGTTGCAGGCTGATGAGCGTCCAAGGCTTGCCGGGATAGCTCAGTGCCCTCTGCTCTTGATTACAGTGATGAGATGATGGGAGGCCATGAGTAACTCGAGCCTCACCTCTTACCACTCCACCATGGCTGTGCCCCTTCCTCAAGTGTGACTGGGTGGGTGGTGAAGGGTGACAGCAAACTGTCCCTTTCGCTGTACTCAGCTCAGGCTGGCCTCAGGTCAGATTCTCAGGACCTATGGTTATCTCAGGGCTCCCTGGGAGTAGTGAGGTGGCAGGTAGCAGAGGAATTCGCTGGGGACAAGCAAAAAGAGGGCTGGCAGATACCCTTTGAGGACTCAAGATGGTACAGGAGAACAGCAAATGGCCAAGTTTGGAGTACTCAGTATCAGGACATTGGGGTGGTGGCCACAGGATGCACTTAACACAAGTTAAAGACTTGAGACTTGGTCTAGGGTCTGGTGCAAATGCCAGTACATACACATAGCTCCCAACGTCACCAGAGCTGAAAGCAGAGCCCTAGGCCGACAGCACCTGGACAGCTTCCTGGGTGGAACTGGAAGTTCCCTGACCTTGGTGTCTTACTGTGTGTGTGTATGTTGTGCCCATTACTGTATGTGTTCTGTGTGTGGTTGTCTATGTGAGCATCTTTCATTGTCTCTCTTGTCCCTGTGTATGACTTTTACCCATGAGGGTGGGTGGGTGTTTGTCTGAAGCAGTTTCCCCTCCCCACTAGGCTTGGAGCAGGTTTTGCTGCAACTCAAACAAACCTTTAGGGTATGCTCAGTGGCACGGAAAAGATAAGTGAGCTGATCTCTCCCAACAGAAAAGCATCTGGCAGGCCCTGAGATAGTGAGGATGAGAAAAGCTAAGTCCTGGGCCTCTGTTTTCTGCCTTTGCACAGACGGTCCCTTGGGATCAGCCACGTATTCACTGACAGGAAGAAGACAAGAAAGCTCCTGTGCCACCAGTTAGCTAGGGCAAGGGACACTGCCGCAAGGGTAGGAATGTAAGGGGATAGCCTAAGGTCATAACGATTCATAGTCCCACTGCCCACCCCCACCCACAGAGGCTAAAATCTCAGGAAAACCAAATGGAGTGACCGTGGCTACAAGCCTGGAGTTCTTTGGGGACCATGAGGACCCTCGACCCCAGCTGCAGCTGAAGCAGTGCTGAGGAGTCAAGAAAGACGTTGGTGTGCTGACTCTCTGCTCCTCCTAGTCAGTTCTGCTCTGGGCGCCTCCCTGTCCCCCAACTTGGTTCCCACCAGCACCGGGGCAGAGGATGGGTCTGTCACTACACAGAGGCCATCTACACAGAGGAGTGGAGTCTGGCTGGGAACCCGCACTTCCCACAGGACTTGGGTATGGGAACATCTTGTGTACCCTTTTCAACCACAGGAGACCTTAGCTGCTTCCTTTGTAAGTGCAGGATCTGCAGCAACGTGACTTCTGTGAGAGTTAACTGGGGCCAAACTCACGTTTCCAGATGAAATGCCAAGGAAGGCTGGTACCCCTTCAGGACTGTGCTGGGCAGCTGCCCTTGATCAGCTGACAGTCTCCTGTCCATTGTTCCCACAGCTCCCTGTCTCTGCTCTACCCAGGGTCAGGTGGTGGTGACTCAGCCACTTCCTGCTCAGATGTTTCCTAGAAATGTTTGTGACCCTGACCTTCATGGCTTTTTAGGGAAAGTATTTCCGGTGTGGCAAGTACTTCTCTAGGTCAGTTAAGAAAGGTATCTGGCCCTGTACTGACCCCTAAGAAGCCACGGTGAAGGTGGCTCTCAACTCATAGTAGAGCAGTGTGAGCCCAGGGCCAGCCTCCCCTAGCCTTCCTTTGCTCATTGCTTTCAGTCTGACCTATCTGCCTTTCTTCTAGATACAGATGACCCAGAAGACAGTGGAGAGTCTGGGGTGTCTTCTTCAAGTCGTGAGGAGAGCCCTGTGTTCCCTGAGGCACCCAGCCCTTCCCCATAACCTTGGCAGCTGCTCCAGCATGTGCTGCTTGCTGTACCAGTTACTTTTATAAGCAAGAAGGAAAAAAGAAAATAAAAGAAACTGTCTGGTATTTCCCTCCATGGGTAGGGTTTTGTTATTGTTGGGTTTTTTTTTTTTTTTTTCCCCAGACAGGACTTCGCTGTATATAATCCAGACTGTCCTGGAACTTAGTCTGTAGACCAGGCTGGCCTCAAACTCAGAGATCCATCTGCCTCTACCTCCCAAGTGCTGGCAGTAAGGACATGTGCCCACCCCCTCCAAGCTAGGGCAGGTTTAAAACACTGTAGGATTTTGGGTCATTGGAGACCCGCTCTGACCCCAGCACTCTGGAGACTTCCTTTCTCCCTTTCCTTCCCATCCCGGACTTGCCTGGTCTGAGCCCTTTGACCGGTGGAGTCTCTCTTGAGGCCTCCAACCTCTAGCCTCACAGGTGGGCTCCCTGGGCCTGGAAAACAAGCTCTTGGCAGAGTGGTTCCCAAGGCTTCATCTTTGTGCTGCCGCTAGCCTGAAATGGTACCCCTGCCCTGGACTCAGGACAGCCTGGTCTTCATCACTGCCTGCCCCTTCCCTCTGCAAGAGGCATCAGGTTCCCTCTAGCTGAGTCCTCCGAGGTTGCCATAGGCCACTGTCCTTCGTAATCTAAGGCTGACCTCTAGAAGAAGACCCTTGGATTGCTGGCTCCTGGCATGGGACCCCAGCCTCCTTCCTACAAGTATCACTGAGGAAGGAATGAGCTAACACCTGAGACTTGTCAAGGACCTGCCTGGGATCCTCACAAGAGTGCAAGGCCACCCAAGAGATCACACACACAGCATGGGCCCCTAACCAGAGTAGGATCCCTGGGGCATGCTGACCCGCCAGTCTAGCCAAATCAGCAAGCTTCAAGACCAGTGAGAGATCCCAGTTTCAAAAAAATAAGAGGGAGCGCATTTGTTGACTTCTGGCCTAAACACACACTCCCATTCCCCCAGCCCCACCCCCGCACACGAAGGCCTGAGAATAGAGCAAGGGAGAAGTGGGGCCAGAAGGGGGCAAGGTTACCCTAACCTTTGTGTGCAAACCCCTATGTTTTCCTCCAGTCTGTATATATTTTCCTGGGTTTCCAATACTCCTAGATCTCCGCCGCCGAGACTCTGCCTCACAATTGCTCCTGGAGACCAGATGGGGACGCGCACAATCCGCGCCCTCCCGCTTCTCCGCGGTACCTGAGTGTGGAGCGCCTCCTGGAGTGAGGTCTTGGATCACTGATTTCAGTCAGTACTGCTCGGCAGAACGTCAGAAGCAAGGGCTCCTTGAGCACCAGGCACAGGATGGCTTCTTGCATCATACGATGTATTAGATTTATTGCTCCCGCTTCCTGCCCCATCCCCACACCCGTAAGCTAACACTACCAGAGAAGGGTTCTTTGTCTACTTGGGCTCCTGAGTTTACTAGTATGGAGACAGTAAGGAGAGGAGCCTGCAGGGCCACGAGCATGCAGAGCATGAAAAGGAGAGATGGAACAGAGATTTGGTATTACCAAAATGCAGAGGGTTTATAGGTTCTGCCCATGTATAGTTCAAATGTTGTGTGGGTCAGAGTAGCCCGCGGTGGGGGGGACTTGCCCGAAGCTGGTGTCCACCAACTCTGAAGTGAAGGGGGAGCCTGCTAGTCCTGTGGTAAAAAGCTATGGTAAAAGCTGAATACAAGGCACAGCAAACAGTCCTCCCTGGGAGCAATCCTGCTTCTGCCTCCTGAATACTAGGATTACCGGCCAGTAACCACCATGTCTGTTCTTAAACTTGGGCTTTTAAAACAGGGCCCCTTGTGTCCTTGCGTTCCTGATTATTTTTCTACCTCCCAAGTAGCGAGGATTCAAAGTGTCGCTCTGTTTAATTTTTATTTTTGAGGTGGTCTCAAAACTTACCTCTCAAGAACTGGGATGTGGCCACCATGTTCGGTTTTATTTGTTTTAAAATATTTATTTATTGATTTATTTGTCTATTGGATTTTTGAGACAGGGTTTCTCTGTGTAGCCTCAGCTATCCTGGAACTAGCTTTTTTTTTTTTTTAACATTTATTTATTTAGTGTACAATATTCTTTCTGTGTGTATGCCCACAGGCCAGAAGAGGGCACCAGACCCCATTACAGATGGTTGTGAGCCATCATGTGGTTGCTGGTAATTGAACTCAGGACCTTTGGAAGAGCAGGCAATGCTCTTAACTTCTGAGCCATCTCTCCAGCCCCCCTGGAACTAGCTTTGTAGACCAGACTGGCCTCAAACTTACTGAGAGATCCACCTGCCTCTGTCTCCCAAGTGCTGGGATTAAAGGTGTGCACCATCACTGCCCAGCCTCAAGGATTTATTTTCCTTT